AGCAGCCACAGCAGTCGCCGCAGACGAGGCATGCGAGTGCCCTCCCGCCCGGGTGGCCTGGAGCTGGTAGTGGCCGTGCGCGTGGTGGTGCGCCGGGTGGTGGTTCCGGAGGCGTGCGCTGTCAGTACCAGATCCAGACCGGTCCGCGCCGCGGCTTCGTTTGCGGTAAGATCGGTCATTCCACTCCTCACTGTTTTCGTTGCCTGGACGACCTGTTCCGTCAGCGCTTTGGCCCGTCGTCCGACCTCCCGGACTGGCACAGTTTGCTTAGGCGTAGTATTCAGATTTTTGAGTTGGACATGGATGCCATTGTGCTGATGACTCTAGTGTGCTTCCTTCTTATAACCCCGTGTTGCCTAGTGTAGGTGTGCCTAGCGTAGACTCCCCTGCTGCGGCAGGCGTAGGATCCCCTGCTTTGTGTAGCCTCGGTGCTTCCACCTCTTCTCCGCCGCCAGGCGCCACTGCTGCACTTTCCTTCACCTTGGACTCTGGCGCTTCCCGGTGTTTCTTCCGCGACTCCACTACGCTGACGCCGCTTCCTGTTCCTGCTGCCGTTTCTCTTGCTGACCCCTCCGGTGGTCCGGTCGTAGCCCGCAGTTCCACCTCCCTTCCCTGTCCGGCGGTTCCTTCGGGTTCGCTCACAGGCCTGCATATCCCCTCGTTCTCCAGGAACCTAGTTGGTGTCGGCTGCCTCCAGAACCTTGGCGTCACCACTACGTTCCCTGGGCACGAGCGGTATGCTGTCTGTACCGAGGCCGCCACTGGTGCCCCCCTTACCACGTTCCCCCGGGATCCGGTGTCAGGCCTGTTCACACTTGACACCGTGACTTCCCCAGCTGGGACGTCCCCCCAGGTGGCTGCGTCTACTCAGGTTGCTGCTGCTTGCTCCTGTCGGTCCCTCACTCACCCAACACTCCTTTGGCACCACCGCCTTGGTCACCCTGCGCTCCCGCGTCTGCGTCACATGTCCCAGCACGGTCTCGTCCTTGGTCTCCCCGGTTCGTTCCCCGAGTTTCCCTCCTCCCCCGCCCCACCTTGCACGCCTTGCGTCGAGGGCCGGCTTCGCCGTGCCCCGCACTCCTCCTCGTTTCCTCCTACCGCCGCATCGCTGCAGACTCTACACATGGACGTCTGGGGCCCCGCCCCCGTCCATGGGCCGCGTCGTGAGCGCTTCTTCCTCGTGCTTGTCGACGACTTGACGCGCTACACCACTGTCTTTCCCCTGGAGCGGAAGGCCAACGTGCCTGACGTTCTCATCCCCTGGCTTATCTCTGCTCGTGTCCACCGCGGTCTCCTTGTCTTGCGTCTTCACTCCGACCGTGGTGGTGAGTTTGCCTCCCGTCTCACCGCTTCTTTCACTCTCGCAACGTCACCTTTGACGAGTCCGTCTCCTTCTACCGCCGCTTCCCCCACTGTGGTCCCCCGGTTACTCCCCCCCTGTTCTTGGTTCCTCCCTCCCTGGTAGTCCTTGCCCCTCCCCCCCCCCCTCCCCCCCGTCCGGCACCCTCTGGTGTGTCTCACGTCACCCCCCTCCCGTCGGTCGTCCCGGTCGAGGAGTCTTCTGACTCTGGTAGTCCCCCGGCGCAGTCCTCGCCTCCAGTCCCTCCCCCGCTGTCTCCACCTCCACCGCCTCCGCAGCCGCCGTCGCCACAGCTGCGGCAGCTGTCGTCTCCGCCGCCGCCGCCGTCGCAGCAGTTGTTGCAGCCGACGCCGCCGCTGTCGTCGCTGCCGCCGTTCGTGGACTCTGGGGTTGGTGGAGTTGAGGTGGGTACTTGTCCCGGGGCTCCTGTCGTGGCTTGTCCCGGCGGGACTGGGGGTGGTACCGGCGCTGGCGGGGTTTCGGGCTCTGGGGGTGTCCCTTCTGGGGGTGCCGGCGTGGAGGGTACGGGAGGTAGCCGTCGCGCAGCTTGCGACCCTCGTGTTGGTGTTGTGTCGCAGCAGCAGCAGTCCCCGCCGGTGTCCGCCCTTCGTCTGCTCGGCCTTCCGTCCCCTGACCCTACGCCTGTTCCTCTCCTGCCGTCTCCTCCTCCTCCCGTCTACGGCCCCGTGTTCCCTCCGCCGGACTCGTCCCCGGCTCGTTTTCCCCTCGTTCCCCACCCGTGTCCCCTCCTCTGTCTCCTGACCCGACGCCTCCCTCTCACGTCTGGTCTCGCCGTCCCTCCCTTGCTCGTCCTGTCTCCCCCGCCCCGCGCTCTCACCCTATGTTGCTACGTTCCCACGCGTCTCGTCCTCCCCTCCTCCCGTCGCCTCCTCCATCTTCTCTTACAGTTGCGTCTCCTCCTCTGTCTGACTTCTTTCGTGCTGCTCGTCCTCTTGTTCCTCGGGTCCTTGCCTCTCTCGTTACCGACCCGTCTGTTCCGGTTTCGAGTCTTGACGCCCTGGTCGCTGCGGTCGCTGACTTCGCCTCTACCCGCCGCCTTGACTACGCCACCGTTTGGTCTCTGATCCTGCCTGTCCTCCGTCTGTCGGGGGTGCTCCTGCCCTCGGCAGTGACGTCCTGGAGGACCGCCAGTTCGAGCTTGCTTTCCTGTCCGAGGCTGCTCCCCATCTCTCTTCCATGCTGCTAGTCCCTGAGGGTGACCCAGACGCTTTCGACATCCCGACCCCTCGTACTTACGCTGAGGCGGTTTCGGGACCCTGGGCCTCTCAGTGGATAGCTGCCATGGAGCAGGAGATGGCATCTTGGAGATCCACCGGCACCTTCGTCGACGCAGTTCCCCCACCTGGGGTGAACGTGGTCGATGGCCGCTGGCTCTTCAAGGTGAAGCGCCCTCCAGGACAGCCGCCTGTGTTCAAGGTGCGCTACGTGGCTAGAGGTTTCAGTCAGCGCGAGGGGGTGGACTTCTTTCAGACTTTCGCTCCTACCCCGAAGATGACTACTCTTCGGGTTCTGCTACACGTAGCGGCTCAGCGTGACTACGAGCTTCACTCCCTCGACTTCTCCACTGCCTTCCTTCAGGGCAGCCTACACGAGCAGGTCTACCTGCGTCGCCCTCAGGGCTTCACTGGCGCCTTCCCTCATGGGACCTAGTGGCTTCTGCGGCGCCCAGTCTACGGCCTGCGCCAGGCGCCCCGTGAGTGGCACGACACGTTGCGTGCTACCCTCGCTGACCTGCAGTTCTTTCCGTCCTCTGCAGACCCCTCACTCTTTGTTCGTGCTGGCCAGACTCCGTTTTACATCCTTGTCTACGTAGACGACCTGGTCTTCGCCACTGCAGACAGGGACGCACTGGCCTCCGTAAAGGCAGAGCTGCTGAAGAGACACACTTGCACTGACCTTGGAGAGCTGCGCCGTTACCTTGGTTTGCAGATCTCCACGGACAGAGCCGCGCGCACCATCACCCTGACTCAGTCACACTTGGTGCGCCAGGTCCATCAGAGGTTCGGCCTTCAGTTCTCCTCAGCACAGCCCACCCCTCTTCCTCTGGACCACAGACTCTCCGCTCCAGTTCCTGAGGAGTCGGTAGATCCCAGTGGTCCTTACGCTGAGCTGATGGGTTGCCTCATGTACCTGATGACTTGCACTCGCCCAGATCTCGCATACCCTCTCAGCATTCTGGCGCGCTTTGTGGCCACAGGCAGACACCGATCTCAGCACTGGTATGCCGCTAAGAGGGTTCTGCGTTATCTTGCAAGTACATCGGGCATGGGGTTAGTGCTAGGCGGACGCAGGCCGGTGGTCCTGACTGGACACACAGACGCTTGTGGGGCAGACGACGCCGAGACGCTCAGGTCTTCCCAGGGCTACTGCTTCAGCCTTGGCTCAGGTGCTGTCTCGTGGAGAGCTACCCGCTCCTCGTCTGTTGCCCAGTCCAGCTGTGAGGCTGAGATCTACGCCGGTGCCATGGCGGCACAGGAGCTCCGCTGGCTGACCTTCTTACTCGCTGACTTAGGTGAGCAGCCTAGCTCTGCCCCGGTCCTGTACGCTGACAACAGGGCCATGATCCTCCTGTGTCAGGAGCCTCGACTCGAGGGCAGAGCGAAGCATATCCAGCTGCGGTACTTCCTCCTGCGCGAGCTACAGCAGCGACGCCAGGCCCGCGTAGTACACTTGGCCTCAGGTGCCAACACAGCTGATATCTTTACGAAGGCACTTGCGCCTAAAGATCATCAGCGGCACCGTGTACAGCTTGGTCTAGTTCCTGTAGTCTCTCACTTGCTTGGGCCTTGACTTTGTACTGTCCTTTATATATGTACACTCAGACTGGACTTGTGTCCTCTCACAGTGGTTGGACTAGTAGTGCCGTCCTGTACTTGTTCTTGCCTTGTCTGTACTCCTTCTGACTGGTCTTTTAGACCCTTGTCTCAGAGGCTGGACTAGTAGTGCCACCCTGGTCCCTGAGCTGTTTTGGTATGACCTGCCCCTATGCAGTCTAGGGGGTGTGTCAAACATGTATATCTACTAAATTTGCATAGAATGAATAGAGTCATGTCTTATACAAGGTACAACTCTTAGGTTTATTCATATGTTCTCTCTCTTTTAATTCATTCTTCTACTCTGATAAAGAATTGAGACGCAAGACAAGTACGAGGCGAAAGCGTGGAAGTCAGGACCGGAAACGACCGGCTCTGATACCATGTTAAAGTAGCTCTAGGCTAGGATACTAGGCAGGAACAAAGGCCGCCATGAATGTGGCGGCGGGGTTTAGCTAGGAGCTGGACGAGAGTGTCGAGAGAAAAGGGGTTGGATTAGGAAGAGAGAGGAGTACAAGGAGGGGTTTGTACCCTCTACAAAAAGGTTCAGTAACAACCTACCAAGCCTATATAAATTATAACTTATATAATTTTAACATTTGTAACACCTACCAAGCCTACAATTATATATATAATTTAGCAAACATTTATGCCCGAGGCAACCAATGGGATGTACCGAAACAAAGAAATGTATATGTGGGGGTTTTGCATCTCCCGAAGGTATCGCGGTCGCAATTCGAAGAGGAATTGGAAACACAAATTTCCGGTTTTTTTGTAATTTTATCTAAAATAGGTGATGGGCGAGATCAATGTTCTCCATGTGGTTGTCATCTGACAAGGTAATCCCTCTGCGAGTCTCAGATCCGCAACGGATAGTGATGAAGACTGTTGCATAACTTTATTTGACAAGGAAATACATACTCAATATTTGAAGCATGCATAAAATTTAGGGAATTATCCCAGTCGACCCCTGCTGCGGCAAAGCTACCACAGAAGCATTTCTGCCGCAGCGCGAACCACGGAAATCCATGGGTAAAAAATGGTCGAGGAATTTACAGGGTCTTCTTGACTCCATCCACCACCACATAGGCGAGGGAGGGGGTGATGTACTCCACGGTGTTTTCCAGGTTGAACGGCGTGCCGGGAGGCTGCAGGGGATTAGGCAATCGTAAAAGAGGGAAATTGTAACATCGATCAACGAGAAAGAACCCAATTATCCAATCCACCTAAGCTAGTAATCCAAAACAATATGAACTTGCACTTACGTTGTTCCCGGAGTGGATCTGCACGCCAGTAATAACAGCATAATCCGCCTTCTTGCTGTCCACGGCCACGCTGATCAGATGCTCCAGCGTGCTGTTGATAACATCCACCGCCGCCTTGGTAACCGCAACAATGTTCGGCTCGGGGTTCGCCTCCAGGAGCTTCTTCGTCAGGTAGTGAACCTCGAGATCATCGGCGGAAGCCTCGGGGAGCTCCTTGCTCGCGCTGAACTGGGCGGTGAGAGCGAGGAGCGCGCCGCATGCTCCCGAGAGCGCGGGGCGGCCGGCGCGACGCATCTTGCCGATCGAGCCGGTCTCGTCGACGCCGATGTGGGTGAGTCCGAAGAAGACGTCTGCAAGGGGGAGGAAAACGAGAAGGAAGAAAAAGAGGGGAGGTGAGATTGCGCGAGTAATGGTGACAATGATGGGAAAGGAACAGCAGGGGTGGGGAGAAGCAGTCAGGGAAGTGGAATAGCGCTCATCGGCCTTTGCAGTGAATTACGGAACAATCCTTTCGCCGTGACCATAGAGAGCGCCGGCGCTCGAAGCGGTTGATTACTAGAGCATGCTGGAATCCAAAAGCCTTGGTCTTTGTTGGTATTCACACCAATTTGAAATGTGCTCGCTATGCCAGCGTAGCTCGAACAACCATAATTTACAATTCCGCATCCGAATCTCATGTACGACCATCGCCACTCACATCGCTCCTTGCCGTTCTCGTCTTGGGGGCTGTGCGACGCGCCGGCCTTGATCGCGAGCGCTCCGCCGGGCGGCACTCCCGCGAGCCCGTTGAGCGCGAAGGTGAGGCCGAAGTGCTTATCAATGGCGGCGTCGAGAAGACGCGACGCCTCGTCGCGGCACGTGCTGACAAGCGCGATGCTGTTGTCCTTGGTAAATCCGTGCTCCTTGAGCTTGTCGGCGATGGTTGCGATGTAACCGGTCTCCTCCACGGACCCGGGGAAGTTCGTCTCGATCGCAGCGACGGCTGCGGGAGCAGCCTGCGAAGGGGACGGAGGCGTTTCGCGAACACGTGATTAAGCAACTGGATGATTGGGGTGCTACCATTGCGTGAAGGAAGGGGGTGACGCAAGATGAATGACGAAAACATTAGTTTTATACAGGTTTCGGACGGCCGTAAGCTCACCTCCTTGGAAATTACAGTGGTAGCCATAGTCGAAGGGAAACGGAAGGGAATGAGCTAAGATCTGCTCCTCGAATTCAGAATTCTATCGCTCTCTGCTGATCTCACGACTAAAATCCGGGATTTCTGAATTTTGAGAGAGCTAGTAAATATCGGAGTATCTGGAGATGATGCAGAAATTAATAATCAGATGGTGAGTATTGCAGACATTTGTACCCCTGAATGCGATGCGACGAAAGTGAACGAAACCTTAGTTCCAGTCGCAAGAACCCTCCGCGCTCTTCGCCCGTTGTGTCGATTTTGAAGCCGAGGTTCAGATGTGATATTGGCCCTCCACTTGGCGAGCCGCGCGGATGCTAGTCAATTTACATGTCACTAGCTACATCAGGTGCTGATAGGGGAGATCCGTTTTTGCCACGAGCTGTGTTCTGTGACGTGGCATTCCTCTGCAAGGTGGGAATCCTCAGCCTCCATCATTCCATGAACTCACCATTCTGCCTGAAATTTGATAATTGATCAACGCGTCAAGAGGCTATCATCGAAGAGGAGAGCGCCCCTATCCTAAGTATCAGTTTACGCTGGAACTTGTGGTCAGAAAAGGGAGCTTGAACTGGAAGATTATCCGAACCTGGTGGGAATGAGCCCATGCAGGCTGTTTGTTTCGTGGTCAGGTGCAAGCAGCGCGGGTCGCATTCAACTCGACGTGAACCTGGGCCAGACCTGGTTCACTTTCCGGAGAGTCGGTTCACAGCACCATGTCCACGAATGTTGCTGATGTTGCTGGGCGTGTGGCAGGTAGAAGCCGAAACGATGGGACCGGAGCGGAGGTCGGTACAATGTGGTACAGCGTGTTTTTGCACGTTGCAAAAAAAGTTTCGAGAGGTACAGAGGTAAACGATGGCACATTGGGAGCGGAGGATCCCGCCGAACGTACTTGCCACGCCCTAAAACGACGGGTGAGAGACAATTCCGTTTCGAACCGATCTCAACCGCATGACCCCATCACCCTCTACCAAAAATATTACATGAGCCACCATCAAACCACTCACAAACCTCACTTCTGAATCACACTTGCCCAAGATCTCTCTCTCCAAGGAAGACGCACTTCACTTGTAAAAACGGGTCACAAACCGGTTTAAAATTGTAGAACCCCTCCCCATACAAGGGGTTTGCGGCCAATCAAATGAACAGGGTTCTTCCACACCAAGAGCCTAGCTCACTAAGAGTCTTGGTTTTCAACCCAACACTAAAACCAACCGGGCAATAATAAAGTGAGCACCAAGTTCTTTCCCCGACCTTTGCCCTATGGCAAATCACCAGTGATTTTGCCACCACTCGGCTCTGCTTGTAGTGATTGTGAATCCGAAGGAACGGGGACAGCAGCAGAAGCAGCAGGAGGGGGAGGAGCAGGAGCAGCAGGGACAGCAGGAGCAGCAGGGACATCAGGGACAGCAGGGGCAGCAAGAGCGACAGGGGTAGGGGCGGCAGCAGCTGGAGCCGCAGCAGGGGGAGAGGTGGTCGAGTCATTCACCAATGTTGTGGACACCGAGGGAGGGGAAGCTGCTGCTTCCGAAGGAGAAACCGAGGGAGTAGCCACCGACAAAAGCGGTGACACCAATTCTTGGAGCGAGGAGGCCAGCCCTCCTCCCTCTGTTACCACCGACACCGATACCCCGCCCTCCCCGTCCTTCCTCCCATCCGCCTCCCTTAGGCTGGACACCAGGCGGGAGATTCCCGGAAGCTTTTCCTGCAGCAGTAGCAGCTTCGCCCGCTCGTCCCTCCATATCCTCGACGACTGCCCCTCGCCCGCATTCCCCCCTCTCCCAAACCCGAGCCCAAATGCAAACCCACCCATCCCCATGCCCATCCCCATGCCACCGCCTCCTCCTCCCCCCCTTCCTCCCCCCCCGTGCATCCCCATCCCTCCCCCAGCTGCTGTGTCCTCTTCGGACGCTTCAAAGGTCTCGGTGGCAGCAGCAGCAGCCATGGCCTGCACCTTCTCCTTCTCGGATCCCGATGCTGTCGCCATCTGCAGCTTGAGGTTCTCGTAGCGCACCATCACCTCCTGCCTCCTGCCATAGGGAAGGGGTGTCAGTGGGGTGAAGGGAAAGAAAAGGAAGAGTAAGGGGGGGGGGGAAGGGATCGAAGCCTGATGCTGTCGCCATCGGCAGCTTGAGGTTCTCGTAGCGCACCATCACCTCCTGCCAACTGCGGTTGTTGTGAGAGGGGGGATGAGAGGAGTCTATCCCCAAAAAACCAGACGCCTCAAAAACAGGGGCAACAACAGGAGAGGATCCTGAGGTTGTGGCCATCTGTAGCGTGAGTACCTGCCCCTCAAGCTACGAGGTTGTAGCTCGAGGTTCTCGTATAGACACCACCCACCTCATGCCAGCTAAGGGAAGGATAACAGGAAGGTAGAAGGAGGAGAATGCTGAGGGGAAGAAGCCTGCGAAGTAGTGCTGGAGGAAGCCGAAGACAGCCACGTGGCCCACTGGGGCGATGGGGGCGATGAGGATGACTAGTGCTTCATTCAAGGTGGCTCAAATTGGGGTAATCAAGTGGGTTTTGGAACGTACCGGGATGAAAAGGGTGAGGGGAAGAAGCCCGGGAAGTAGCGCTGGAGGAAGCCGAAGACAGCCACGTGGCCCACCGGGGTGATGGGGGCAATGAGGATGATGGCAAAGGGAATCACCACCAGCAGATCTGTCGCCGTGCGGCGCAGGGTTTGCACCTGGAGGGGCGGGGGAAGGGTTAGGGCGGGGGAAAAGGGGGAGGAGGAAAGCAGGAAGGAAGAGGCAGCGTGGGTGGCGGGGGCGATGAAGATGATGGCGGAGGAAATCACCACCGGCAGATTTGTCGCCGTGCGGCGCAGGGTTTGCACCTGAGGAAGAGGGAAGGTGAGGTGAAAAGAGGGGGAGGAAAGAGGGGAGGAAAGAGGGGCGGAAGGAGGGGCGGAAGGAGGGGCGGAAGGAGGGGAGGAGAATGAAGTGATGAGTGCAATGCAGGCTGTCTCTCGGAGTCAGTCGGCTCGAAAGACAACAGAAGGATCAGGAGCACTGTAGAAAGAAGAGGGCACTGAAGCTCTTTGGCCTTGAACGTTGAATTGGTTTTTGAGAATTCTCAAACACCAATTCAATGTAGAAGCAGGTCGCTTTTGAGTCGACTCAAAATACAGTCGCAGTGACCCAGGAGAGCCTACACGACCTCCCCTGCCCGCCAGCAGGCGCAGGCCCCGCCAGAACAAGGACACGCCCTCACATCTCGCTCTCCCTCCCTTAACCAAAGACACGTAGTGTCATTCTCCTCACCTCTCTGGCTTTAAGGGTGGTGCCGGTAGCAGCCACCCAGAAGAGCCTGGCAGAGTACGCCACGTCGCCAGCCAGCAGGCGCACGCCCCGCCAGAAGAAGGACGCGCCCTCGCCCACCTTGCCCTTGGCCTCCTCCACCGTCATCTGTGCCCTCTGCTGGAGAGGCACGGAGGGCTCCTCCATGATCCCCAGGCGGAACTTGAGGTCTGGTGGGAGGGGAAGGGGTGGGAGGGAAGGGGTGGGAGGGAAGGGGTGGGAGGGAAGGGGTGGGAGGGAAGGGGTGGGAGGGAAGGGGTGGGAGGGAAGGGGTGGGAGGGAAGGGGTGGGAGGGAAGGGGTGGGAGGGAAGGGGTGGGAGGGATCAGCACACAAGGGGGTGAGTGGTGTGCCGCCCTCGCCCACCTTGGCCCTGGCCTCCTCCACCGTCATCTGGGCGCGCTGCTGCAGGGGCACCGAGGGCTCCTCCATGATTCCTAGGCGGAACTTGAGGTCTGCAGGAAGGTAGTGGGCTGGAAAGGGGGTACGCCTGGGGGGGGAGGGGGGGGAGTGTTGTATTGCACGAGCACACCAGGGGAGCGTGTGTCGCCCTCGCCCACCGTCCCCCCTGAGCCTCCTCCACTGTCATCTGCGCCCTCTGTTGGAGATTTCTGAGGCGCCTCAAAAATCACCAGGGACGGATGGCTTGAGGTAGTACGGAGGGCTCCTCTCTCCTCCATGATTCCTAGGCGGAGCTTGAGGTCTGGAGGAAGGGAAGGGACAGGTGGGAGGAAGGGAAGGACAGGTGGGAGGAAGGGAAGGACAGGTGGGAGGAAGGGAAGGACAGGTGGGAGGAAGGGAAGGACAGGTGGGAGGAAGGGAAGGACAGGTGGGAGGAAGGGAAGGACAGGTGGGAGGAAGGGAAGGACAGGTGGGAGGAAGGGAAGGACAGGTGGGAGGAAGGGAAGGACAGGTGGGAGGAAGGGAAGGACAGGTGGGAGGAAGGGAAGGACAGGTGGGAGGAAGGGAAGGACAGGTGGGAGGAAGGGAAGGACAGGTGGGAGGAAGGGAAGGACAGGTGGGAGGAAGGGAAGGACAGGTGGGAGGAGGGGAAGGACAGGTGGGAGGAAGGGAAGGACAGGTGGGAGGAAGGGAAGGACAGGTGGGAGGAAGGGAAGGACAGGTGGGAGGAAGGGAAGGACAGGTGGGAGGAAGGGAAGGACAGGTGGGAGGAAGGGAAGGACAGGTGGGAGGAAGGGAAGGACAGGTGGGAGGAAGGGAAGGACAGGTGGGAGGAAGGGAAGGACAGGTGGGAGGAGGGGAAGGACAGGTGGGAGGAAGGGAAGGACAGGTGGGAGGAGGGGAAGGACAGGTGGGAGGAAGGGAAGGACAGGTGGGAGGAAGGGAAGGACAGGTGGGAGGAAGGGAAGGACAGGTGGGAGGAAGGGAAGGACAGGTGGGAGGAAGGGAAGGACAGGTGGGAGGAAGGGAAGGACAGGTGGGAGGAAGGGAAGGACAGGTGGGAGGAGGGGAAGGACAGGTGGGAGGAAGGGAAGGACAGGTGGGAGGAGGGGAAGGACAGGTGGGAGGAAGGGAAGGACAGGTGGGAGGAAGGGAAGGACAGGTGGGAGGAAGGGAAGGACAGGTGGGAGGAAGGGAAGGACAGGTGGGAGGAAGGGAAGGACAGGTGGGAGGAAGGGAAGGACAGGTGGGAGGAAGGGAAGGACAGGTGGGAGGAAGGGAAGGACAGGTGGGAGGAAGGGAAGGACAGGTGGGAGGAAGGGAAGGACAGGTGGGAGGAAGGGAAGGACAGGTGGGAGGAAGGGAAGGACAGGTGGGAGGAAGGGAAGGACAGGTGGGAGGAAGGGAAGGACAGGTGGGAGGAAGGGAAGGACAGGTGGGAGGAGGGGAAGGACAGGTGGGAGGAAGGGAAGGACAGGTGGGAGGAGGGGAAGGACAGGTGGGAGGAAGGGAAGGACAGGTGGGAGGAGGGGAAGGACAGGTGGGAGGAAGGGAAGGACAGGTGGGAGGAGGGGAAGGACAGGTGGGAAGGCACACTGGTTAATCGCTGCCAAAATAAAGCGGGGCCTAGTCTGGTTGGAATATCCATCAGGATTGGGTGTTGCTGTAGTTGACTGCTGCGACGGCGGCGGCGGCGGTAGACACTCGTGGCGGCGGCTGCTGCAGAGGATGCTCGTAACTCGTAACGGTTTGAAGAAGAATCCATCCGCTCCCTCTTACGTGTAGAGTCTTCGTAATGGGTGTAACAGTTGTAACTACCAGGGAACACGCGTGTCTTGAGGCACATGTGTCACTCCATTGCTGCCGGTGATTGGGTCGCTCAAGGGTATGAAGATTACTTGCTTCTCCCCTGATTGTCTCCACGGGTAGCAACTGCCTGGTATGCTCATCTGTGCTCCCGATGTACGGTCAGTAGAACGCGTAATTATCTTGTTGCAATCTGCATCTCCCTTATTGATCAACACCATCACATGCACCGTGCACAGAGAGCACACAGAGCACACAGAGCACACAGAGCACACAGAGCACACAGAGCACACAAAGCACGCAAAGCATGTATGCCTCACCAGGGATGTCAATGGCCAGCGCCTCCAGCTCCTCGTCCTCGATAGGAATTGCTTCCAAAAATAGGGGGTTTCACGCAGCCAGCGCATAGCAGGCACAGAGCACGCACAGAGCACCCAGCATGTAAGCAGCTCACCAGGGATGTCAATGGCCAGCGCCTCCAGCTCCTCGTCCTCGATAAGAATCGCCTCCTTTCTGTCCACAGCCGTGCGCAGGCGAGCCAAGTCGGCGTCCAGAAGGCCGTACTCTGCTACCAGGAGGGACTCGTCCTCGTCTGTCCGCACGTCCTCTGGTTGGGGGAGAGTTCGGGAGAGAGATAGGGGAAACAGAGATGAACGGTGGAAGGCGAGCTAGGTCTGCGTCGAGAAGGCCGTACTCTGCTACCAGGAGGGACTTGTCCTTGTCTGACCGCACGTCCTCTGGTTGGGGGCCGGGGGATGGGGGAGAGAATGGGTGGCATTCATGGGCATGAGAATCAGGTGGGATCAGGCATGGGAGAAGGCATGGGAGCAGGGATATAAACTCACGGGAGTCAGCAGCAAAGAGCAGCTCCTGCTCCAGGAACATGTGGCTCCACCTGCATCTGCAGCAGCTAATGGTCCTAGGAACCTAGGACACACACAACAGCTACATGGATGCACGGTACCTTAGGGGCAGACTACGAATACTCACGCGAGTCAGTGGCGAAGAGCAGCTCCTGCTCCAGGAACAGGTAGATGACGTGCATCTGCAGCTGCAGGCCATGCATTGGTGTGCAGGTCTACACAAACCAACGCATACCTGTAGGCATCGGGACACTCACGTGAGTCGGCAGCGAAGAGCAGCTCCTGCTCCAGGAACATGTAGATGACCTGCATCTGCAGCTGCAGCGTGCGCACTGCCAGCTCCTTGCGCAGCTCGTTCACCTGCATGGGGGGCGTGGGGGTGGGTGGGTGGGTGGGTGGGGGGAGGGGGTGTGGGGGAGACACGTAGCAGCAGGGCGGGGCATATACGAGAAGGGTGCACACTGTGAGTTGGCTCTGCAGCTGCAGCGTGCGCACCGCCAGCTCCTAGCGCAGCTCGTTCACCTGCATGGGGGGCGTGGGGGTGGGTGGGAAGTCTATCTTTGAGGCGCCTCAAAATGAGCTCCTTGCACAGCTCGTTCACCTGCATGGGGGCACGTGATGATGGGGCACGTGATGATGGGGCACATGGGGGAGTTGGGGGGGGGGGGGGGGTTAGGGGTGGGGGTCGGGGGGTGAGTCGAAGACTTGTAGATGACCTGCATCTGCAGCTGCACTGTGAGTTGGCTCTGCACCTGCAGCTGCAGCTGCAGTGTGTACACCGCCAGCTCCTTGCGCAGCTCGTTCACCTGGCGGGGGAGGGGGGGGGGACACGTAGTAGCAGGGTGGGGCATATACGAGAAGGATGCGCATTGTGAGTTGGCTCTGCATCTGCAGCGTGCGCACTGCCAGCCGTGCGCACTGCCAGCTCCCCTCCTCGCCAGCTCCTTCACCTGCATGGGGGGGCATATGCATGGCACACGGCCGAATGGGAGTAATGGGAAAAGAGCGCAACTCGCCTTCCTCACTCCTCGTCTCGGAACCTACCAAGGTTGTTGCATTCCAATCCGCCTATCTTGTGCCCCCTCACTCACAAACCATCACAATATGGTTTACGAGGGTATCTGGGATGGTTTGTGACTGTGCTGGTGAATGCGATAATTTGCCTCACTAACCATCGCCATATTGCCAAACACCCTCACCCACCTCATCATCCAGCGCTTTGATCTCTCCGGAAAGCACGCAAGCACGTTCCACTGCCTCAACAGCAAGTGTTGAGGCGGCTCACATTACCGTCCTTTCGAGTCGACTCGAAAGTCATCTCTGGCAAGTGTGGGCCTCACAGGCGCGTTCCGCTGCCTCAACACGCTGTTTTTTTAGTCCACTCGAAAGCACGTTCCGCTGCCTCAAAATCTGCTGTTGAGGCGGCTCACGTTACCGCCCGCCCGCTCACGGGGGATGGACTCCCTGAAACAGTGGGCATTCACGCCATCTCAACCCACTGGTACCAGACCAGCTCCCTCACCTTGTCACCGCAGTCTCGCCCGCACAAGCACGTTCCTCTGCCTCAGCCGCTGCTCTCTGAATGTCTCCAGCTTCTTACTCCACACGGCCAACCAGCGTGGAGTCACCACAAAAATAGACACGACTAAAAAATAGACACGACTAAAAAATAGGCACGACTAAAAAATAGGCACGACTAAAAAATAGGCACGACTCAAAAGTAGGCACGACTCAACAATAGACACGACTCAAAAATAGACACGACTCAAAAAAAGACACGACAAAAAAATAGACACGACAAAAAAATAGACACGACAAAAAAATAGACACGACTCAAAAATAGACACGACTCAAAAATAGACACGACAAAAAAATAGACACAGCAAAAAAATAGACACGACTCAAAAATAGGCACAACTCAAAAATAGACACTTGCTGCTGCTCTCTGAATGTCTGCAGCTTCTTCCTCCATGCGCCCAACCGGGCTCTCTCACCTCTTCATCCCGTGCTTACAGCATCCGGGCAAGCCTGGCCCACACTCACGTTCAACTGCCCCAGCCGCCGCTCCCTAAAAGCCAGCAGACATCGAGCCGCAGTCTCTAGGATCGACTATGGGAACAGACCCACCTCGTCATCCAGCGCTTTGATCTCCCGGGCCAGTCTCGCCCGCACGAGCACGTTCCGCTGCCGCAGCCGCTGCTCTCTGCTGCGAATGGCGTCGTTCAGCCGCCTGTCCAACGCCTCCACCTGGGGACATGGGGAAAGAAGGGAGAATGGGAAGAAGGGCAGGGGGAGGGGTGTGAGCGGGAGGGCAGGGGCATAGGAAGGGGGGATGGGAAGGGGGGGTGGGAAGGGGGCATGGGAAGGGGGGGTGGGAAGGGGGGGATGGGACAAGCCTCTAACGACTAGAAAGAGAATGCAAATATACGAATGCGAATATGGATAAATAGCCCAATACTTGTTCAATAAATGGTGAATGCGTCATCGACTCATCGGCCAACTACCCGTCCACACATCCGAGTACGAATCGGGAAGTGTTGGATATGGACCAACTACTTTTTTTGAGGCGCCTCGAAAAGTGTTGGGTATGGACCAACTCGAATCTTAACATTGCTCTGTTTTGTTATTTTGAGTCGACTCAAAAGTCATCTCGAATCTTAACATTGCTCAGTTTTGTTCTGTTCATATATTTGTTGGTAACCCCGACACAGCGGCTTCAGCAACTGGCTACAGCAACAACAGCAGTGTAACCAGTTGCTGAAATGGAAGGTTACACTACACCCCTGCCATCTCTTATCGCCAGCAGCAACTTGAGCTTCTTCTTCTACTCCTCCCGATCAACTGACAACATGGATCAAGGCAGCCCTGGCGCCAGGGGCTCCAGCTCTGTCGTGGGCGGCCTACTGCGGTAACCAATTTGGCGATCGCAATGCAGTGGTAAACACAACACAGTGGTAACCACACTACTGGTAAGTAACCCCATCCAAGGTGGTAACCACCCCATACCTCCAGCAGCAGCTTGAGCTTCTTTTCCTCCTCCCTGTCTCCAGTGGACATGGGGCGAGGCAGGCTGGAAGCCAGGGGCTCCAGCTCTGTGGTGGGGGGCGTCTAGTGGTAACCGCACTACTAGTAACCACATCAAAGGTGGTAACCACACCATACCTCCAGCAGCAGCTTGAGCTTCTTCTCCTCCTCCCTGTCTCCCGTGGACATGGGGCGAGGCAGGCCGGAAGCCAGGGGCTCCAGCTCTGTAGTAGGCGGGCGGCCATTCAGACGCCGCCACGTGTCCACCAGCGTGCGCACTGCCTGCCCTCCCGCCTGGAATAAGACAGGGACAGATATACAAGGGAACACGGGAGGGACGAATGGAACAAGCAGGAGGGAGGGAGGGAGATCAGGGAGGGAGCATGAGAAGAACAAATGCGGGAGAGGAAGGAGGGGGGATGATGAAGATGGGCGACATAAATGGCGGAAGAAGGAAGGGGGCGGAGAAGGGTAATGAGGGACATGCGAGAGAGGACGCTCTGTGAGGACACTGTGGAGGAAGGCATCGATAAGCCATCAGTTCGACCGACTTGTACTGATGAAGGCTCGCAAGTGCCGAAACTAGTTTACCAAGTTTCAATGCTGTTAACGACCCTCAAGCTGGCTGCATAACCTCGACAAGAGCTTTTTTTCTTCTTCTTTTTAACCGGGTTCCCCTAACTCTCTCCTAAACGCAATCTCGCCTATGGGGGTCGATTTGTTGTACTAACCTACAGACTTGATGGAAATAAGGCCTCCGCCGCCCACCTGTAATCCATCTATGGCTCCAGCAGTGATAAGCCGCCAGACTCCTCTCTCTCTCGCTCACCCCTTTGATCGTAGGCAGGTCGATGCTGAAGTCCCCAAACGAGATGTCCACAGACGCTATCCTCTGCCTCACTCTCTCCAAGATTGCACTCGTGTTGGACAGCCCGCCCAAGCGACGCAGCACACGCTCCTGGTGAAGACGAGGGGTGTATGCGTGTGGTGGGGGGGTGGGGGAGGGGAGGGGGTTGAGGAAGGGTGTTCGCGTGTGGTGGGGGGGTGGGGGAGGGGAGGGAGTTGAGGAAGTCGCTCAGTCCCCTACCCTCTCCAAGATGGCGCTCGTGTTGGACAGCCCGCCCAAGCGACGCAGCACACGTTCCTGGTGAAGTTGAGGGGTGTGCGTGTATGGGGGTGGGGGGGTGGGGTGGTGGTTGGGAGGAGGGTGAGAGAGTGCGTTCTAGGGCGATTCGAAGAAGCGCCTGTGTTGGACAGCCCGCTCAATCGACGCAGCAGACGCTCCTGGTAGGGATGGGAGATATGACTTTTGAGTCGACTCAAAAGTCTCCTGGTAGGGATGGGAGCCACACATAACCCGCCACACATATCCCGCCACACATATCCCGCCACATATCCCGCCACACGTATCCCTTTTCCTCACCCGAACGTTCGCCTCCTGGTCCATCTGCTCCTGCAGCGCCTGCGCCTCGAGCTCCTCCTCCTCCATCTCCCAGTAACTTCCGCATGTCTGCCTGCGTCTGCCTGCTCATCTGCGTGTTTCCCCTCTCACTCCCCTCTCACTCCCCCCTCACTCCCCTCTCACTCCCCTCTCACTCCCCCCTCACTCCCCCCTCATCTTCCCCCTCACCTCCCCTCTCCTCTCCATACGCTTCTTACCCGAACTTGCGCCTCCTGCTCCATGTGCTTCTGCAGCGCCTGCTGCCGTATCTCCGTTACAAGCTTACTCAGGTGAGAGTAACCCTTTCAAACACCCCCCTCTCACCCGAACGTTCGCCTCCTGGTCCATCTGCTCCTGCAGCGCCTGCGCCTCGAGCTCCTCCTCCACCTCCCGCCGCTGCTCCGCTGTCAGCGACGCCTCGATGCGATCCGCCAGCTCCTCCAGGCGCTGCGACAGCGTCCTCACCACGTCAGCAACACCTTCTGCAGCCTTCGTCTCCTCCTGAGAATGATCAGAAACGGGGTGGGGGAGAGGGAAGGGGGTGTGCCGGGGGGGGAGGGGAAGAGAGAGGGGGGGGGGGGTGGGGGGATGAGAAAAAAACAGTCAGCGACGCCTCCATGCGATCCGCCAGTTGCTCCAGCCGCTGCGACAGCGTCCTCACCACGTCCCCCACGCCCTCCGCGGCCTTGGTTTCTTCCTGTGACAGTAACGGGAGTGCCAATACCGGGAGTGCCAACGAAGAGCGCGGGAAAGGAAAAGAAGGAAACGCAGCGTGGGGTACGCAAACGTCTAGTAAAACGTACAGAAGTATCGGCAGAAACCAACAGCAGGCTTCCATAGTGACCCACCGGGAAAACGGCGGGCAGCTGCCCGTGGAAGAAACTTAGGTCACGACTCAGGGACTCCGCGAGCGCGCGAACGTCCGCCGAGCAATTGAGCACCTCGACCGCGTTCTCCACCACTAGGATCGGCTTATCCTCCCCCTCTCCACCCTCGCCTTTCCTCTCCGCCACGCCCAGCCCGCGCCGGATCCAATAGTTCGCCCCACGCCGCACCTTGCGCCGCGCTTTAATCTCCTGCGTCCCTTCCCGCTTCTTCTTAATCACGGGAATGGGCATGTTAAGGACGCGTTCGGACCGGTTCGCGTCGCGGTATAGCCGCCGGAGGAGCATGAGGACCTCGAGCCGCTGCAGCCGTTCGTTCACTTCCGCTGCCACGTCAGCGCTGACGAGGCTGTAGCGAGCTATTTCCGTGTCTGACGTGGAACCATCCGTTCGTGCCAGGGACTCGGGCTCTGCGACTAAAGCTAACGCACCGTTTAGGCTCTTCGAATCTGAAACGACAACGTTACCGGCGCCGTCAGTTTCCTTGTCGGAGCCGTCTCCGCCAGCACCACGCGCGGCGGCTCGAACGGATCGGCTACCCTGGCGAGTATCGAACCAGCCATTATCGGGTACAACCGAAACCACGAGAAAGCAGGACAACGGCTCTGCGGAGACGAAGGAAGCACGGTCTGGCCTCTCGGTGCTGGAGCGTGTAACGAGGGATGGGGAGTGTGACACTGACGACGAGTGTGACACAAACGAGGATGACTTGCGTGGAAGAGAAGTGGTCCGCAGCAACACTTGCTGCGGACCTTTCAGGAACGTAGAGCTACCCTGGAAAACGCCACCATGAGAAATAGCTGGTGAGAAGTCCCTTGTCAGAGACACGGGACGGGTCAGAGGGGTCGCCATGGCAACGCCGGTGGCTGCTTATCGGGGAGATAACCAGAGATTATCTCCTGCTTGAATGGCCTATGCCACCTTAGACTGGGGTGGACGTCACAACGCTGGCAAGGTTAGTGAAGACTGACCAGGCACGGTAACATTGGGCAGTCTAAGGTAGTCTCACGCTCACCCTTCCACTAATAGGGATCTTGTCTCAAGCCTGCACAAGCGCGAGAGATTCCCTCTAGGGGAACGGGAACCACTCACACAAGAAACACGAAAGATGCTCCCGCTGTGAGAGGAGGGGAGGGGACGGAACGACCCTGCTTGACCACAAGCGGCGTGTCCCCAAACCGTTTTGATTATTTCAGTGACCGCTCTTGAACATAGAGCACCTGGATGAACCGCAATGAAGCGTATGTTATCGGCACACCTCATTATGCAACGGTTTTGGTTCAGGGCAGGGACACACATACTTAGCTCACCACCCCCTGGGCGAATTCGCTGGATCGGGCAGCTTGAATTGATCCTTATTGGTCTGTGTATCGACGGTTCGAGAATCGGGAGGAAGCCCACCCGTGCTGGCTTGGCTTGGCACTGACACCCCTTTCCACCAATCCCCAAGGTTCTCCGCAAGTGCAGTGGCGAAGTTGGGTTGGAAGCGCCCTTGCGGGCAAACACGAGAATTGACTGGTACACGATCCCCGCTAACGTGGCAGCGACCTGGAGTGGCGATAATCCAGAACAGATGAGATCATGAATTGTTGGGAAGATTTGCCACGTGGACTCGGCGCTTAGGGAAGAGGGGCCCTTCTGCGTGGCTGTCCTCCTTGCCAGGAACCCTGAGGCAAGCGGTCTCCATCCCCACAGCCAACAAGCTGTCCACCGAGGTTCGTTCCTGCCACGCGTGATTGCCCGTGATTACGGGTCGTAGTCTCCTACACGAATGTAACGCAACTGTAACAAAATGATTCCATTTGTTATGAATTATAACTCAGAGAATAGTGCAGCATTCAAGAAGGGGAACGTGATTACAGAGTGACGATAGAAATGAGGCCAATGGCTATTATAGGACGATTTACCAGGTTTGAATTTCGAGTTTTGGAACAGTCAAGGGCCAAGAGTCCTGCTGGTGACGCGGGCGGGATGGGTTCGGGGCGACTCGGGTGGAGGTTGGGGTCCGATTAGGTCGGTGAGGGCTGGTTTGGCGCGATAATCGAGGGCCGAGTCTGCGAACCCTAAGGTTTCGCGTGTACTCGCTGAAGAGAGCCCCTGTAATGAATCGTAATTCCTTACACTCTCCCACCTTCTAAAGAAGGCACTCTCTTTGTCGAGGTCGAACCTTTTGTATAAAATAATCCTCGAAAATACTTTAGGTCTTCAGCCATGTGATGAGAGTAATGATGACGCCGACCTGACGAGGTCTTTTGCGAGCCAATATCCGACTCTTAGGTTGGCCGAGAACGATCTTGACCGTTGAGCGATAATTAAGAGTCAGCATTGTCAGTGGCGAACACTGTCACTGATAATCTAGCGGAAGCCTTCAGATCGAACGGCTGTCGTAACAAACAGTGAAATTGATGAATAGAGAGAGAGAGTACACAAACATATACCTAACTATTGTACTCTCTAGAAGATGACCCTATACAGTCTATACAAGCATGATAACTAAACATGTTTGACACACCCCCTGGACTGCATAGGGGAATGTTCTAGACAAGCAGCTCAGGGTGGCACTACTAGTCCAGCCTCTGAGACAAGGGTCTAAAAGACCAGTCAGAAGGAGTACAGGCAAGGCAAGAACTAGTACAGGGCGGCACTACTAGTCCAACCGCTGTAAGAGGACACAAGTCCAGTCTGAGTGTACACACAGATATATAGGACAGTACAGAGTCAAGGCCCGAGTAAGTGAGAGACTACAGGAACCAGACCAAGCTGCACACAGTGCCGCTGATGATCTTTAGGCGCAAGCGCCTTCGTAAAGATATCAGCTGTGTTGGCACCGGAGGCTAAGTGTACTACGCGAGCCTGGCGACGCTGCTGTAGCTCACGCAGGAGGAAGTACCGCAGCTGGATGTGCTTCGCTCTGCCCTCGAGTCGAGGCTCCTGACACAGGAGGATCATGGCCCTGTTGTCAGCGTACAGGACCGGGGCAGAGCTAGGCCGCTCACCTAAGTCAGTGAGCAAGAAGGTCAGCCAGCGGAGCTCCTGTGCCGCCATGGCACCGGCGTAGATCTCGGCCTCACAGCTGGACTGGGCAACAGACGAAGAGCGGGTAGCTCTCCACGAGACAGCACCTGAACCAAGGCTAAAGCAGTAGCCCTGGGAAGACCTGAGCGTCTCGGCGTCGTCTGCCCAAGAAGCGTCTGTGTGTCCAGTAAGGACCACTGGCCTGCGTCCGCCTAGCACTAACCCCATGCCCGATGTACTTGCAAGATAACGCAAAACCCTCTTAGCGGCAGACCAGTGCTGAGGTCGGTGCCTGCCTGTGGCCACGAAACGAGCCAGGATGCTGAGAGGGTATGCGAGATCTGGGCGAGTGCAAGTTATCAGGTACATGAGGCAACCCACTAGCTCAGCGTAAGGACCACTGGGATCTACCGACTCCTCAGGAACTGGAGCGGAGAGTCTGTGGTCCAGAGGAAGAGGGGTGGGCTGTGCGGAGGAGAACTGAAGGCCGAACCTCTGAAGGACCTGGCGCACCAAGTGTGACTGAGTCAGAGTGATGGTGCGCGCGGCTCTGTCCCTGGAGATCTGCAAGCCAAGGTAACGGCGCAGCTCTCCAAGGTCAGTGCAGGTGTGTCTCTTCAGCAGCTCTGCCTTCACGGAGGCCAGTGCGTCCCTGTCAGCAGTGGCAAAGACCAGGTCGTCTACGTAGACGAGGATGTAGAACGGAGTCGAGCCAGCACGAACGAAGAGCGAGGGGTCTGCAGAGGACGGAAAGAACTGCAGGTCAGCAAGGGTAGCACGCAAAGTGTCGTGCCACTCACGAGGCGCCTGGCGCAGGCCGTAGACTGGCCGCCGCAGAAGCCACTGGGTCCCAGGGGGGAAGGTGCCAGTAAAGCCCTGAGGGCGACGCAGGTAGACCTGCTCGTGAAGGCTGCCCTGAAGAAAGGCAGTGGAGAAGTCGAGGGAGTGAAGCTCGTAGTCACGCTGAGCCGCTACGTGTAGCAGCACCCGAAGAGTAGTCATCTTCGGGGTAGGAGCGAAAGTCTGAAAGAAGTCCACCCCCTCGCGCTGACTGAAGCCTCTAGCCACGTAGCGCGCCTTGAACACAGGCGGCTCTCCAGGAGGGCGCTTCACCTTGAAGAGCCAACGGCCATCGACCACGTTCACCCCAGGTGGGGGAACTGCGTCGACGAAGGTGCCGGTGGATCTCCAAGATGCCATCTCCTGCTCCATGGCAGCTATCCACTGAGAGGCCCAGGGTCCCGAAACCGCCTCAGCGTAAGTACGAGGGGTCGGGATGTCGAAAGCGTCTGGGTCACCCTCAGGGACTAGCAGCATGGAACAGAGATGGGGAGCAGCCTCGGACAGGAAAGCAAGCTCAAACTGGCGGTCCTCCAGGACGTCACTGCCGAGGGCAGGAGCACCCCCGACAGACGGAGGACAGGCAGGGTGAGAGACCAGAGCGGTGGCGTAGTCAAGGCGGCGGGTAGAGGCGAAGTCAGCGACCGCAGCGACGAGGGCGTCAAGACTCGACAGGGGAACAGACGGGTCGGTAACGAGAGAGGCAAGGACCCGAGGAACAAGAGGATGAGCGGCACGAAAGGAGTCGGACAGAGGAGGAGACGCAACGACAAGAGAAGACGGAGGAGGAGACGGGAGGAGGGGAGGTCGAGACGCGTGGGAACGGAGCAACATAGGGTGAGAGCGCGGGACAGGGGAGACAGGACGAGCACGAGAGGGGCGGCGAGACCAGACGTGTGAGGGCGGCGTCGGGTCAGGAGACAGAGGAGGGGACACAGGAGGGGAACGAGGGGGAAGACGAGCCGGGGACGAGTCGGGCAGAGGGAACACGGGGCCGTAGACGGGAAGAGGGGGAGACGGCAGGAGAGGAACAGGCGCAGGGTCAGGAGACGGAAGGCCGAGCAGACGGAGGGCGGACACAGGCGGGGACTGCTGCTGCGGCGACACAACACCAACACCAGGGCCACAAGCTGCGCGACGGCGACCTCCGAAACCCTCCACACCTGCACCCCCAGAAGGGACACCCCCAGAGTCCACAAACGGCGGCAGCGACGACAGCGGCGGCGGCGGCGGCGGCTGCAGCGACGGCCGCGACGGCGGCGGCGGCGGAGACGACGGCTGCAACGGCGGCGGCGGTGGAGACGACGGCTGCAGCAGCTGCGGCGACGGCGGCTGCGGAGGCGGTGGAGGAGGAGACACCGGGGGAGGGACAGACGGCGAGGACTGCGCCGGAGGACTACCAGAGTCAGAAGACTCGTCGACCGGGACGACCGACGGGAGGGGGGTGACGTGAGACACACCAGAGGGGGCCGGACGGGGGGGCGGGGGGGGGGGAGGGGCAGGGACCACCAGGGAGGGAGGAACCAGGAAAAGGGGGGGAGTAACCGGGGGACCACGGTGGGGAAAGCGGCGGTAGAAGGAGACGGACTCGTCAAAGGTGACGTCGCGAGAGTGAAAGAAGCGGTGAGACGGCGGGTGGTAGAAGTGCCAGTCGGACGCGTCAAGGGGGAAACCGAGGAAGACGCAGGGGAGGGTGCGGGCAGTGAGCTTGTCCGTGCCAGAGGCACGAACGTGAGCAAGGCAGCCCCAGACGCGGAACGCAGACGCGTCACCAGGGGACCCGGTCCACAGAAGGGTCGGCGAAACCTGTGGCCGCTGGGGGTGCGGCCACAGGTTAAGCTGGTGAGCGGCGTAGCGCACGGCGAACGGCCACAGAAAATGGGGTGCACCGGCGTGGATCATGGAGGTGCGATCCACCTCCATGACCAAACCGATGCGTCGCTCAGCGACCCCATTCTGCTGCGGGGAGTCCGGCAGGGTAAACGTCTGGGTGATGCCCTCCGCACGACAGAAGCGACCAAGGACACCTAAGGCAAACTCGCCACCCCGGTCGGAGTGAAGGCGCAAGGCAGGGAGACCGCGGTGGACACGAGCAGAGACAAGCCAGGGGATGAGAACGTCAGGCACGTCGGCCTTCCGCTCCAGGGGGAAGACGGTGGTGTAGCGCGTGAAGTCGTCGA